CCCCCCCCCCCCCCCCCCAGCTATAGTACGCCGATGCCCCCGCACCCACACGTTGAAATGCCACGCCTCTTTATCAGTTCAAGTTCGGGTTTTCGGTGCCGCATTCGTTCTGATGGACACTTTCACCATCTGATGTTTGTCTTGTATTCAAGTAACAGGTAGCAATTACATGTCGCGGCATGCAGTATATGTATCTGTATTTGTGTATTTGTCGTTTCCTTTCATTCTTCTAGATCTAATTGAAACAGCCGTGGGTTTATTTATTTAATCTTCCACACCGGCTGTTGCAACAAATCGCTGCATTATACAGAAAATCAATAATCTGCATAAATATCGAGTCCATGGTGAGATAGAGAAAAGTGTTTATTAATCACACACAACAATGTGTGAACTAGCTTTCATGAAGTGGAATTTTGAAATGATAAAAAAGGAGGTATAGACATGCGAATTTTTTTATAGGCATGATGAAGTCAAAAATAATGTTAAATCATGGAGCTATCCATGGTTAAAAATATATCCTTTTCCGTGCGACACACTTTTGAATTTTATCATGGAACAATCTTGATGAAAGACCCTTCACTTTTATTTGTATAATGTACCTATTAATTATGTCGTTTTGGATTTAAATTATGTTCGGATTTTACAATATTATTGGTCGTATACGTATCTAGTTTCATCTGCGGCCTGCCTTGATTTGTTTGTTCATTGCATATGTGTTAACTTGCATTTGGTGATACATGTAGTTGGTTGATGAACTGTGCGTATGGAGTACTACCGAGAGAGCTCGTCACGAGCTACACGTCCAATTGAGAAAACTTTCTTGGGCACACGTACACGATCATGGCGAGTGCGGAGTATCCATTCGTTTTCTGCGCATTATTTCTCTCAATATCAACATTTCTTGATAACAAGGTAAGACTAGAATAAATTACCTCATAGTCATAACTAAGCGGATTATATTGTCCATGAAACGAAAACTGTTGTTCATTGCAGTTATCTTGAATTTTGTATGGCGGTCCGGTAGACTTTGGTTGTCCACTTTCCGGACAGATTGACTTGCAATTATTGCATTGCATTTTCACTGAGGTTAATTAGGTTAAACTGTGTTGTGTAGGTCTATGCACTTCAAAGGTACAGAAATGTATAGAACTTTAAAAGTTTGGAGCAACTATAGAATGCAGGGCCACGCCGAAGCAAGGTTTTTTATTTTGCCTGGAGGCGTGGATGGAATAGGAGTAATAGATATGCAAACCTGCAAAAAAGTGCTAAGTACAGCGAAGGAATGCACTGCACTTGTCTTCAAAGCTTCTCATGAAGGATCGGAAGGGACGACGTGCTTGTAAATGTGTTGGGGGCACTGTCTGGAGCGGCGGAGGCGCGGAGTTGGAGTCGCAGAATCGCGGAGACGCGGGGCACTGGAGTGGCCGCAGTGGCGGAGGCGCGGAGTCGCGGAGTCGCAGAGACGCGCACCGATAGAGGGCGCAATTCTCGTCGGAATCTTTTTGAGAACGAAGCATCCATATCCATTTTAAATGGGCGGGCCAATTAGGAAGGGGAGAGGGCGACAGGGCACTGTCTGGAGTCGCGGAGGCGCGGAGTCAGGGAGTCGCAGAGTCACTTTAATTGGGCGGGCCAATTAGGAAGGGGGGGGAGGGCGACGGGGGCACTGTCTGGAGTCGCGGAGGCGCGGAGTCGCAGAGTCGCTTTAATTGGGCGCGCAAATTAGGAAGGGGGGGGAGGGCGACGGGGCACTGTCTCTCAGTGGTGGAGGCGTGGAGTCGCGGAGTCGCAGAGACGCGCACCGATAGAGGGCGCAATTCTCTGCGGCTCCACGTACGACTCCACGATCGATTTTCAGAGGTTAGGAATGGAGGAGGGCGACAGGGCACTGTCTGGAGTCGCGGAGGCGCGGGAGTCGGGGAGTCGCAGAGTCACTTTAATTGGGCGGGCCAATTAGGAAGGGGGGGGGGGAGGGCGACGGGGCACTGTCTGGAGTCGCGGAGGCGCGGAGTCGGGGAGTCGCAGAGTCACTTTAATTGGGCGGGCCAATTAGGAAGGGGGGGGAGGGCGAGTCGCGGAGGCGCGGAGTCGGGGAGTCGCAGAGTCACTTTAATTGGGCGGGCCAATTAGGAAGGGGGGGGGAGGGCGACGGGGCACTGTCTGGAGTCGCGGAGGCGCGGAGTCGCAGAGACGCGCACCGATAGAGGGCGCAATTCTCTGCGGCTCCACGTACGACTCCACGATCGATTTTCAGAGGTTAGGAAGGGAGGAGGGCGACAGGGCACTGTCTGGAGTCGCGGAGGCGCGGAGTCGGGGAGTCGCAGAGTCACTTAATTGGGCGGGCCAATTAGGAAGGGGGGGGGGAGGTCGACGGGGGCACTGTCTGGAGTCGCGGAGGCGCGGAGTCGGGGAGTCGCAGAGTCACTTTAATTGGGCGGGCCAATTAGGAAGGGGGGGGGGAGAGGGCGACGGGGCACTGTCTGGAGTCGCGGAGGCGCGGAGTCGGGGAGTCGCAGAGTCACTTTAATTGGGCGGGCCAATTAGGAGGGGGGGGGGAGGGCGAGTCGCGGAGGCGCGGAGTCGGGGAGTCGCAGAGTCACTTTAATTGGGCGGGCCAATTAGGAAGGGGGGGAGGGCGACGGGGCACTGTCTGGAGTCGCGGAGGCGCGGAGTCGCAGAGACGCGCACCGATAGAGGGCGCAATTCTCTGCGGCTCCACGTACGACTCCACGATCGATTTTCAGAGGTTAGGAAGGGAGGAGGGCGACAGGGCACTGTCTGGAGTCGCGGAGGCGCGGAGTCGGGGAGTCGCAGAGTCACTTTAATTGGGCGGGCCAATTAGGAAGGGGGGGGGAGGGCGACGGGGCACTGTCTGGAGTCGCGGAGGCGCGGAGTCGGGGAGTCGCAGAGTCACTTTAATTGGGCGGGCCAATTAGGAAGGGGGGGGGGGAGGGCGACGGGGCACTGTCTGGAGTCGCGGAGTCGGGGAGTCGCAGAGTCACTTTAATTGGGCGGGCCAATTAGGAAGGGGGGGGGAGGGCGACGGGGCACTGTCTGGAGTCGCGGAGGCGCGGAGTCGGGGAGTCGCAGAGTCACTTTAATTGGGCGGGCCAATTAGGAAGGGGGGGGGGAGGGCGATGGGGCACTGTCTGGAGTCGCGGAGGCGCGGAGTCACGGAGTCGCAGAGTCGCTTTAATTGGGCGCGCAAATTAGGAAGGGGGGGGGGAGGGCGACGGGGCACTGTCTCTCAGTGGTGGAGTCGCGGAGTCGCAGAGACGCGCACCGATAGAGGGCGCAATTCTCTGCGGCTCCACGTACGACTCCACGATCGATTTTCAGAGGTAGGTCGACTGCGGTTCCACGCCTCCATGCAGCCGTACGGAGGCGCGGATGTAGAGTAAAGTGGCCCTGCATTCTATAGTTGTACCAAAAGTTTCATAAAAATCATTGGAAAGAATGAATAGACGCCACTTCCAATGACTTCGTTGGTTGTGTACAAAACCACATGGACATGATGGAAAGACTATGGAGAGTCAAGAAGAATTTCAAACTACACATGAAGTGAAGTAGGCCTAGACCAAAGTAACAATTTTGGAAATTTTTCTCAGTTCCAGATTCAAGTCATTTAGGGAAAGATTCCCATATCTGGCCATCACTTGTGACCCTGTGCACAAACCCTATGCTATGGGAGGGGACTGGTCTGAAAATTGCTAAGTGTTTTCTCAGTAATAATTCAAAATTTGTCCTTGCTAATTTGGACTTTTTAGGAAATATTAGGCCTATCTCTTTCTGATGGCTGATAAATCATTTAAGGGAAAACTTACTGATGGCCAGATATGGGAATCTTTCCTCATTTAGATTGATGAAAATGTACTACATGTACACGTACATGTATGTCTGTTGTATTAAGTGACTGGCATGACCGGTGCATGTATAACGTTAAGTCCTGATTGACCATAGTGGAGAAAGTGAAGCAAACTGATTCCATTATAACAGTCTGTAAATGACTTTTGTTTCTCTCTCTCCCGCTCTTTCGTTTCGTTAAATGACTTATTTCCTACATGTATATCAGCATCTAGCCAAAGCGTTCTTGGAGCATCACAATCCGCATGCTGCCAAACCCCACTTCCTTCCCCATGAACACACCAGGATACACAACGATGCCTTGAGACAAGCCCAAAGCACTCTCTCCGTGGTCATCGACCCCGCCAAACCCCATCTCAGCTCCTTCGTCCGCATCGTGAACCCCATCGAAGTGTTCGACGGCGGTAAACACCTTGCTCACATCGAGTACTCCTGCAGCGATGGTGATCTCATTGCTGTTCAGATTTTCCTCCAATCGGACGACATCCCGGAAAGCCCGCTGAGGGTTTTCCACCACGATTGGACGTGCAGTCGTTACGCGAGCGGCACGCGCAGAGCCTACGTGCAGCTGACGTTGCCCGAATGGCTGACGTACCGACCGGATAACTTGCAACCACTTGCTTTCAACGTGATCGGTCTGGAGCTGAAAGTATGGATCTCAGCAAACGACAGATCCTGAGCTGCGTCCATTGGAACAATTTGAATTGTTATGAGAAGGCTCATGTCAAGGGTGTGTATCCAGTGAAAGTCCTTCCAGTTTATCAACGGCAAAGGAGGAATTATGAGGCCAATATGTGCTTGTCCTGGGATGCCTGGATAAAACTCAAGTATTTCAACGAGGGAAAAGTACTCAGGTGTGAAGTCGAAAAAGGTAATTTGGCCATCAGAAACGTTAATTTTTCGGGCACATTTGCTGACTTTGTACGGAAAAATTAATCTTAAGGCCAAAAAAAAAAGATAGTCGGTCTCTGGTCAGACCAAAGTTCCGGAATTGATGCGGCGACGCAGGTTTTTTGGGGTGGGCTTTTTTTTTTTCAAGCTTGGATTGTACAGACAAGGTGGGTACTATTTTTTGCTTTTTTGTGTTCTCATATACATTGGTAATAATTTGCCTTTGTGCCCTCCATCATTTGCTTTGGCGCAATTTCCCCACTCCTTGGTACACAAATTTGAGGAGGTGCGGCAATAGAGGGCGCTGTTGTAGCTACCGCGGACAATTTGAAGGGAACAAAAGGTTGACGCGCATGATTAAAATCGATGCGCGCGTTGACCAGAGACCGACTATTTTTTTTTGTGGCCTAATCACCAAAGCATTTCTGGCCCCCACTTTTGAATTTGTTTTATTTATTTTTGTTGTTTTTTAAAAATTGTTTTCAAGTTTCAAAAACAGAGATATGGAGTGTCATGGCCTAGCAGTTAAGTGCAACGCACTGGACTCATGCTCTGGTGTTTCAGAGGCAGCAGAATGTGGGTTCCAGCCCGGGTCTGGACACTTTTGCCCTTAAGCAAGGCACTTAACCAGTATTGCTTCATCCTTCGGATGGGACGTAAAGCTTTCTAGGTCCCCTGTGTTGTGTAATGCAATGCATACAAGAACCCAGTAACATTTATCGCTAAGAGAAGGGGTTTGCCCTGGTGTTTCTGGCCTCCTGTTAAAGGTATAGTCCATCATTTGTAATTAGTGCATTTTGTTCGTTTGAAGCAACAAAAGTGTTCAAAATCTAATGAAGGATACTGAGCAACTAACCTGATGAAGTTTCAGCTAAGCTTCAGCTGTACATTCCGAGAAAAGCAGCATTCTAGGATCTCAATTTCAAATCAAAAGTTACTGAATCATGTTTTGAATTGCTTTGAATTGCAGCTATACGCGGCGTCGCGCACTGATCCGACGAATTATAACAACGCGCGCGCGTGTGCGTCGTTCCAATGCTTGCGCGCGCTGCGCCGAATAACAAAACGAACTGCTAATTTAAATTTTCCTACGGTGCTTCTTAAGAATCACCGTTGGAAATGCCTTCTTTCGTTGATTTCTTCAAAATGACAGCTTCCCAGAAAGAATAATTTCACAGGGAGTTTAGTTCCCTTACTATCTTTCAACCAAGTGTGTTTTTCAACAATAATTACGCCAGTTACTTTTCGGATGGCTGCAAATGATGGACTATAGCTTTAAAACGCCCCTGCGGAGAATTTAGAAGAAGATGCTACAAGTACCAAGTAGAGATATTGACTGCCTGGGGAGGTGTGAACTTGCGACCCCCAGATTGTTGTTCTGGTGCTGTCCCAACTCAGCTATCTAGCCCTATGTTGGCAGTTCCCCATTTTGTTAATGGCTTTGTTTAACTTTTAAATCCCCTTCAATTTCTTTGCTCAACTTGTTGGGATGAAGCAAGTAAGGTAAAATACCTTACTCAAGAGCACAAGTGGGCAATTCCACGCTAATGGGATCAAAAGTGTGACATTTGAGAAGACCTTTCTTACCCCCTAGGCCCTTGTTGCTTACAACCATCCTCAATCCTCCAAAATCCTCCAAAATTTTGCAACTCCGCCTAAATTTTTCAAAATTGTCAGACAGTCCTGCCTCAAAATGCATTCATCCTCAATCCTCCAAAATCCTCCTCATCCCAAAACTTTGCACTCGTGTTTAAATGAAGGATAACCAATGCCAAATCCTTCAAAATCATCAGACAGTCCTGCCTCAAAATGCATTCATCCTCAATCCTCCAAAATCCTCTTGTGCTTCAATCACCATTCATCCTCAATCCTCCAAAATCCTCATGTGCTTCAATCACCATTCATCCTCAATCCTCCAGAACCCTCATTTGATTCAATCACCATTCATCCTCAATCCTCTAGAATCCTCCAAAACCGCCAGGAGGATTTGGAGGAGTGGGGTGGGTTAGGGTTAAGTTTTGATGATAAAATGCGATCTTGGTCTCTCAATTTTTGCCGTAAACATTGCAAGCTTCAAACAAATATCCTCACCTGCAAATGATAACTGGTTTTGTATTTTAGAAAATATAGGGGATATTGTTTTAAAAAGTGTTACGCACGACGCACGTAACAAAGAACAGACATTTTAGATAAAGTCACAAAGTAAGCATAAAGTTTAATGATCCCCTAATGTTGACTTATATAAGAAGATGTACCCTGGAGGAATGCTATCAGTCAAAACCTAGAAAACTCAGAGTCAGTGTGTTGAATTATTTGATATTTCATAATCAGGATTTATACGTACGAACAGACTGGTCATTTGTCACAAAATGTCTGTCCCTGTTCGTACGTAACCCTAATCACATCGTAAATTTGAAGCCAGTGTGAAAACTGTTATATTTTTGCTTGATAACAATGTAAAATGGCTTAATAATGTCACTGGGAGTGCCTATTAGAAACTGAATTTGTCCTAAGCACCCTTTTCGTAGCAGTGTGTCTGTCCACGTTACATACGTATCACACAAAAAAGATGCCTGTTATTTTGTCAAACAAAACAAGGTGTCATCTTTTGTCTTGTCTTGTCCTAGTCACTTTCAACTTAGCAAGGTATAGGAAAAAACTGAAGAAAATACTAGCTCATCTTTTACCCTTTATACGCAACATCCATAAACTTATCTAATTGGCCCATTAGTGTGGAAATGCCCAAATACAAAAAACAAATGTAGTGTGCCTTTGGTTTAAAAATTGCAGGCCTACACATGGTGTAGGGTTTAAGATGAATCCAAAGCTGACATGGCTGACATCCGTGGCTTGAGAAAAGGCCCAGCCTAACTTGTCTTGCTAACAATACGTTTTGGTATTTCAAGAAAAAGTCAACTCGGAAAATTTAAAGTACGATATTGAAAAGTTCTTGATTTGTTTGTTTGTTTATTTGTTTGTTGTTTAATTTGTTTATTTGCAGAGAATGTACAACTGGTGGATTTTCCAGTGGCTTTCTCCGATGCTAATTCAGGGATTACCAAGGACTTGCCTCCATTCCAAGACATCGGCTTGATCAACCAGCAGCAGAGACACAGGTTCAACCCTCAGTGAGTGTTTTTCAGTGTTGTTGACTCAAGTCGCTGACTTGGACTCGAGTCGGACTCGAGTCGCTATTTTTTTGACTTGAGACTTGACTTGACTTGGGGAAAAATGACTTGAGACTTGACTTGACTCGAATAAATTTGACTTGCTGACATTAACACGTTTCTTAAAGATAAAAAAAAAACACAAACCTCTGGGCGTTCGTGCGCACTCGCATATAGTCAGGTGGCTTAGATCTAATTTTCGTCAAGATCGTGACCGACTGGTCCAAAGCACCAAACTTGGCAGATATATTCTTATAGACCTAGAGAAGATATTTAGAAGGGGTGACACCTGAAATTCTTTTGGGAAGGGTGCCTAATTTGCATAAATCGTTAATCCCTGACGTGTAATATATTTATTCCCATATTTGGGTATATTTCCATTTTTTTTATTTTTTTGAAAAGTATATTTTGGGGATTCTACTTACATATTTTACTTAAATAACATTTTCCAAAGCATATAAGTGTCTGAATAATTATGAGGACATAGTAACGATCCAAAATGGCTACTATTATGACCTAAAATTGCGCGCATTTACCTTGTCTCCAGATATCATCAATTAGTCTTGCCAAACATTAGCATTGATGAACTTCAAATTCACCAAGTAGCTTACTGGTACAGCTACCCTATTGAAACCTTATGCAAAATCATGTGAACTATGATAACATTGTGATATTAAGCCCAGAAAACAAAAACTGGGGAAAAACGAGGTGTCCATAAATTAGGCTAACAAGTAGGTGAATGGTTGCCTAACATGGAACACTGGAACAAGTTCAAGGAAATTCCCCTAATTATTGTTGAGAAAACGTTTTGGCGTAGACAAAATTATTGTAAACAACAATAATCTCTTATTTAGGGGGATTTTTTTGAACTTGTTTAAGTTCCCACGTTACCCTTCCCGTACTAGCCCAATTTACGGACACTACATTTTCTCCCCTTTTTTGGTCTTTTGGGCTAAGCATCAAGATGTTATCAATTTTCACTTAATTTCCCACTTATTTTTGTTAGGGTAACTATGCCAGTAAGTAACTTTGTTAATTTGAAGCTCATCAATACCCACGTTTGGCGAGACTAGTTGATGATATCTGAGGAAAAGGTAAATGCGCGTAACTTTAGGGTAAAATAGTAGCAATTGTGGTTCTTTACTATGTCCTCCTAATTATTCAGTCACTTATATGTTTTACAAAATGTTATTGAAGTAAGAATATGCAAGTAGAATCACAAAATACACTTTTCAAAAAATAAAAAAATAAAAATATACCCAAATATGGGAATAAATATATTACACGGCAGGGATTAACGATTTATGCAAATTAGGCACCCTTCCCAAAAGAATTTCAGGTGTCACCCCTTCTAAATATCTTCTTTAGGGCTATAAGAAAATATCTGCCAAGTTTGTTGCTTTGGACCAGTCGGTCACGATTCCGACCATATGCCACCTGACTAATAGTCGGTTGAAAAGAATGCAGAAATACATAGCGAATTAGCAACCAGCACGCGATAGCTGGGCATCCTGAGCCTGCCACATGTCATGTACATGACTAGCACCATGCGTGTGTTAGGCCAAAAAAAAAAAAATACTCGGTCTCTGGTCAGACCAAAGTTCCGGAATTGATGCGGCGACGCGGCTTTTTTTTTTTTTTTTGCTTTTTTTTTTTTTCTTCAAGCTTGGATTGTACAGACAAGGTGGGGTGCTATTTTGCTTTTTTGGTGTCTTCATGTACATTGGTGTCCTTCATAATTTACCTTGGTGCTCTCGATCATTTGCCGTGGTGCAATTTCCCATTCCTTGGTGCTCTTTGGTAAAAAAATTGAGGAGGTGCGTCAATAGAGGGCGCTGTTGGAGCTACCGCGGAACATTTTGGAAAAAAAAAGATTGACGCGCATGATTAAAATCAACGCGCGCGCTGACCAGAGACCAACTTTTTTTTTTTTGGCCTTATGGTGAAGTTTGTGCCGTGCGTAGTCTGAGTACCATCCGTTGTTATAGAGGGGTCATTCCATATACATGTACATGTACATGTAGAGACCATAGGCTACAGGTACACATTGAGTGGTTTACCGTAAGCGTGCTAAATGCAACTGGGTCATTCTATAAATTTGGGGTCCAAAGTGTGACATTTTTCCCGTCCATGTTACCTTGGTACTTTGTCATTTGCCATTCAAGCATCATTAAGAATGACTTCAAATGATTGTTTATTTGTTGGGTAGGTAGTTTGCTATTCAATCACTCTTGGAGGATGACTGCATTAAGGAGTGCATCAGAATTATACAATCATAGATGTCAGATGTAACAGGGACGGGAAAAAAAGTGGACCCCAAATTTATAGAATGACCCAACTACGGTTTAAACGACATAAAAATGGCTGCTACCCCCAATCCACCAACATGATGGAACAAGTTTGAAATGTATCAAAATGCGTTTTTTAGACTCTTTAGATACAAATAAGGTTTTTGAAAGAAGATGTTTGAAAAAGTGTGATTTTTTTTAATCTTCTTAAATGATGCACGCTTTGATAAACCCCATTCCAATCTCTACTCTGGCTCCATTTTCAAACACATAAACTGGTTTCTGTACGTAGTATGTGCATCTAATATTTTTTTTAAATGACTCGAGACTTGAGTTGACTTGAAAAAAATTGACTTGGGACTTGACTTGACTTGTGACAATTGACTTGAGACTTGACTTGACTTGGAAAAAAATGACTTGGGACTTGACTTGACTTGCTAAAATTTGACTTGTTTACAACTGTGTTTCTGGGAAATACCTTTAGGCAAATTTTGTAAAAGGTTTGGAGAGAATAATGTTCTGACTATGTTACTGCCTGCTGCCAGTTGTGGTCTGTCTGTAATTTTGTGGTTTCACATGTCTACATGTTGTGCAAACCCGATCCGAAACCTAAACCGACCCATCCCGAAACCGACTTTGGGTCGGGTTGGGTCGTTTTTTCATCATTTCAGTCAGGTCGGGTCAGTTTCGGTTTTGCATTTGCAATTTTCGGGTCGGGTCGGTTCGGTTTATTAAGCCATCTTGTGAAAAACCCGAAATAAACCGAACTAAAAAGTAAAAAAAAAAACCAAAACAGTTCGGAAATTCATGCTGTGCGATATTTTTGCAGAGTGCCTGGTGCGATCAACGTCATCCAACCACACGATTGTGCATTTGGTTTGCGGTCTATCACGCAGAGTACCATATATAACATGTAGTCCCACCAGTACATGTAGGTCACATGTACATGTATGTACATGAGTCTTCACCGATATGGTACAATTCAATTACTGAGAGACGACGATTTTTAAGCGATGCGGGTAAGTTCAGGCACAAAAAGTGGACACAGTTGCCCAAGCCAGATATTGGGGGGGTTTTCGAGTCGGTTCGGTTTCGGGTCATTTCGGGTCGGTTTTTGCTTGAATTGTTGTCGGTTCTACTGTTCTTTCACAGACTCCATGCTTTCATTGAATAATACATTTTCAGATTCACGATATCCACGATGGTCTATCTTCTTGAGTACTGCCGCTCTGATCTGTGTAGCATCATGCATCGTAAAAGCCAGACAAATAATAATTACATCACACCTTTACTCTTCCTCACCAGAAAAGGTAAGTTGTTGTTCATACATGTATATCAGAAATGTTTATTTTTGTTGATAGTTTTGACTGACATTTTCACAGTGATAAAAGGAATCATTGCCTTTTAATATGGAGGGTATTTACATGTAGGTGAAACATATTAAAGCTGGAGTCCATCATTTGCAGCTATCCAAAAAGTAACTGGCGTAATTCTTGTTGAAAAAAACATACTTGGTTGAAAGATAGTAAGAGGACTAAACTCCCTGTGAAATTATTCTTTCTGGAAAGCTGTCATTTTGAAGAAATCAACAAAAGAAGGCCTTTCCAACGGTGCTTCTTAAGACGCACCGTAGGAAATTGAAATTAGTAGTTCGTTTTGTTTTGCAGCTAAGCGCGCGCAAGCATTGGCACGACGCACGCTTGTGCGGTTGCTATAATTCGTCGGATCAGTGCGTGACATCGACATGATGTAATTCGTCGGATCAGTGCGCGACATCGCGTAGCTGCAAGCGGCTCATTGAGAACGTGTCTCGGACGCTGAATTCAGGCCCAATTCAAAACATGATTCAGCAACTTTTGATTTGAAATCAAGACCCTAGAATGCTGTTTTTCTCGGAATATCATGGATATACAGCTGAAGCTGAGCTAAAACTTCATCAGGTTAGTTGTTCAATACCCTACTTTAGATCTTGAGCATGTTTGTTGCTTCAAACGAACAAAATGCACAAATTACAAATGATGGACTATACCTTTAAGTTCAATATTTGCATTCACCCATAGATGCTTAGTTCGTTTCAAAGCATCTATGTTGCTCCAGCTTTTTCAAACTATATTTGTACAGACGAATCCAGGCACATGATCAATGTTCACTCACGAGGCCCCCTTCAATGGAGAAACCGCTGTACACACTATTGTACAAACTGCCCCAACCGATTATCTGAACAATAGCTAGCACAATGCTTTCGCCATTGAAGGGGGCCTTCGTGATAGAAATGATAACGTGCCCGTATTGGTCTGTAATACCAATGATTTTTTAGTCCATTTCAATCAGTCTACTGTAAAGGATGGACACTGAACCTAAAAAACCTGACAAACATATCAACCGTTCCTTATTTATTTTTTTTTCTCAAATCTGTTTTTATATTGAAATAAAATGTTGCAACCTGACGCCACTTCAGCGGTTGTGTACAAAGTCTATGGAGAGTCAAACAAAATTTCTAAGTATTTCCTAACAAAATTGGAAATGTTTCTCAGTCCCAGATTCATGTCTTATCATCATTTTTGCAATAACTGACCTTCACTGAGATGATATAATGAAGAAAACAGTGGCGTCAGGGTGCAACATTTTTTGCTTATATGTGACCTGTTCTGTCAAAAGCAGACGCTTCTGCTGGGCAGAGGTTGAAATTACGATAGGGCCAAAAAACGCTCTGGGGGTGATTTTTTTTTCGATTTTCAAATGTTTGCATATTTGTAATCCTGAACATGTCTAAAATATATTATAAAAGTTTGAAACTCTAATTTGAACTCTAAATATAGTATTTTTGATGATTTGTTTAGGTATATCAATTAAAGAGATGTCTGTTTTGTGACGTTCATGGCCATTTTCTCCGTTTTCTACTTTTCGACACAATGAACTTCAAAATAGCATAACTTTGCCCAGGAAATACAGGTTTCAAAAATTAAACCACCTATTAAAAGGAAAATGTACATATTTTAACAATATGCAAAAATCTCATTTTCGACCTTATGCCCAGAAAAGCCTGATGTTGACAGAACAGGTCACATATTGCTACCGGAACAGATGTTATTCATGAAACACACACTGTTTTTTGCAGGCTTAATACACGTACAGGTGGTGCTTGAGAATGGTCAGGCATTTGGAATGCTAAGCAACTATCGGATCCCATTGAAGCAATGGGTGCGTGTAGTCTACAAACAAGATGGGAGCAAGGTCAGTATGACATCCTTGGTGTTTGTGTGAATCTATTCACCCCAGGTTTCCTCTGCATCCTCCAATTACCGGGATGCAAGCCCTCGTGCAATTGCCTTTCTTCAGGCTTCTTTCAAATTGTAAATAACAAATTTTACCACATGGAATATCTGAAAAATTTGAGGCATCTCAAATAGATGGCAAAAAAGGTCCATGATGTAATAGTAATTGTTTGTCTTGTGTGGTTTTTATTGTTTGTCAAGTGCCATACTTTTGTGGAAAATCACTTGACACGCATCATTTGGGAGGTTCAATTAGGCATATTAGACAAAATTTGTATCTTTAAAATCTGTCAATATCAGCGAGTCAGCTATCGAAAAAAAAAAAAATTCCGAAACATTTTAAGATATTCAAAAAAAATCCCAAATAATCTAATACTAAATTAATAGAATGTGCAGTACACTACAATTTGTCAAACATGACAAATTACCAGCATTCTGTATTGTGCCAGACTAAATATAAGCTCCCTTTTATGTTGCCAAATATCAATACATACGATAAAGGTTACTAATTTTTTTATATATCAATCAACTAAATTTTAAAATTAAGTCAAACACCACAAATACTGACACTTGAGAGTCATTTGTACAATATTTGTATGATACATATGGGTAATTCCACAAAGTTGGGTACAGAATGTGTGACATGAGGGTGAGTTTTTCAAAATAATGTGAAGAGCACTAAAATAACTTTTTTAGGTGCTGACATATATGTAGTGTCTAAAATAATAAACCATTTTGAGACATCTTGTCAAACGTTTTATTTTTAACAGTGTTGTTTATTAACAGATGCAAAGCAAGTTTCACATGTAACATGGACACCAAACATGAGGAATCACCTTTCCCATTGTTATTTTATAGAATTGATATGCTCCAAGTATAGAATGTATTTAAAAGGGCTTGATAAGTACATTAATTAAATTCATACATTTTTTGGCTAATCGTTATGAGATTATTGAAATCAGCTGTTGTTCACTCACATGAAATGGGCAAATTATATAAATTTGGCCCTTCATACATATTTTTTCTTGTATTGTCTGTTCCAAAAATGTTTGTCTACACCAAACGTGTAAAACACAAGGAAGCAAACCCACACGTTCAACTTATTTTGCCATGTTACCATTTCTTTTACACAAGACAGTATCCATGCAAAATAATTTTGTGGTTTCACGTGTAACAATGACACCAAAATATTGGTGTCCTGTTACAAGTGAAACTGATATATGGATTATAAGGTAATAAGCTTTAAACTTGATAAAAAATGAGTAAAACTTCATTTATATTTGTTAAAAATGAACAAATTTGAAACATCAGCTGAAGATGTGAGTGTGTTTAGCTTTGAGACTCCCATATTGGACAGGGTTGGGTTTCACATGTAACATGGATGCCAAATTATTGAACGTTCCGATTACATCTCAAGATGTGATGCCTAAACTATTTTGCGGTCCCCATCCTTCCTGTATCCCGTCCCTACCCTCCTCTACCCCACCCCACCCTCCCCCACTCCATTCCCACCCTTCTAGTACCCATAACATATTGGACAGGGTTGGGTTTCACATGTAACATGGATGCCAAATTATCGAACGTTCTGATTACATCTCAAGATGTGATGCCTAAACCATTTTTGCCGTCCCCATCCTTCCCGTATCCCGTCCCTACCCTCCCCAACCCCACCCCCCCTTCCCCACTCTACCCTCCCCTTCCCCACTCCATTCCCACCCTCTAGTACCCATTACATAACAGTGTTGTCGGATGCATTGTTCCTTGGATTAACCATTCCCAAATGGATGAATTTACTGAACATGCTGAAGCCTAAATCAATGCAAATTATGAATTTATTTCTTAGGGGAAGATTTTTTTTTTAGTTTTGTACTATTCATTCTTATGTGTTTTGTTTCTTTTGTTTGAAAAAAATGTTGAAATATCTTAATTCAAACCAGAAAAAGAAAATCACATGATGCTCCACCCCCATTATGAGAATGGAATGGTCTGGCGGTATCCTGGCCTGTGACCAATCAATGTTGACACTTCCCCTCTTATTTTAGACTAACTTCAGTAAAAATCACCAACTTTCGAACCCCCTTCAAAAAAACTTCAAACAGATAAATGAAAAGGACCCCATTTTTAATAGGTCAGACGTTGACCATCCAACGCAGGCAAAAGCACAGGCCAAAACACATAATCGTACCACACCGTCGCATGGAAACCACGTCGTGATATTTCCATTACGATGTGCAATTTCAGTTAGGGTTTCGGGACACATTTAGCGTCATTTGTGAAAGCTTAGCCTCTTCTAGTCCGAGTAACTTGGACCCAACTTATCGCCTTTTTTAACATTTTGGACATGGTCTGGCGATAGTGGGGTCCAAGCTAATACCGCGACCTGGACAACATCATCCTGTCACTGTCCCAAACCAACATTTTCCAACAAAAAACATCAGATTTCACCTTCAAAACGGCCTCCAAATTACTAGATATGCCACCTGAAGTACAAGTAGACATCGATGATTAAGATGGTTGTACTTAAGTTTACTTACGATCCGGAAGAAAAGTGAAATTTTCCGTTCATTTCGGAGAGCTCCCCTCGCGATCTTGAACACGTTAAATTTCCGATCGTGTTTAATGTTTGAACGACGCGATTTCTTCTACATGCCCAGTGTACATTCAATGGTCCCCGTATCCCGTGTGCGATTCCGTTACCGAGCGCGCGCGATGCACGATTATGATAATGAGTCACGTTTGTAAACACATACATGTGCATTTTGAACTGTAAAAGGGAATCGGGAACCAGCTTGAACTGGTACCCGCCATAAAAGCTGCGCTAGTTCCCGACTCCCTATTATCGTTTGAAATGCACATGTGTTTACAAACGTGATCCAGTCTACTCATTATCATAATCGATGCATCGCGCGCGCTCGGTAACGGAATCGCACTCGGGATACGGGGACCATCGAATGTACGCTGGGCATGTAGAAGAAATCGCGTCGTTCAAACATTAAACACGATCGGAAATTTAACGTGTTCAAGATCGCGAGGGGAGCTCTCCGAAATGAACGGAAAATTTCACTTTTCTTCCGGATCGTAAGTAAACTTAAGTACAACCATCTTAATCATCGATGTCTACTTGTACTTCAGGTGGCATATCTAGTAATTTGGAGGCCGTTTGACAGTGCATGAGCATGTTTTATGCCAAATCACGGAAATGGAATATCACGTCGTCACGCGGTTACCATTTTGTTTCGTATCCATTCCGTAGCTAAAGTGCAGGTTTTAGCGTGTCAACTATACTGCAACAATTGTTTGAGATGTTATTCATGTTTCAGCATACACAGGGAGTAGTTCTTCGGGATTACCAGGCACCGTGTTGGTAAATCTGTAATCTAACCCTTGTGTGTCCTCCCCGAATGTGGTATACCTCGTAACTGACATCACACCGTAAAAAAATGACACCAAAACTATTGGCACCCACGATGGAAAAGTTGCCGAAAGCACGCGGGTTTCTTCTTGCAACAAAGCAAGGGTTGCATCCGGGTACTTTGATCGCAAGACGTTCATCCAGAAAATCTATAGAGGGCGCACGCGCGATCGCATTTAATTATCACATCGTATCGTTTTTTAGTGGATGCGAAGTCAACTACCAGTGAGTAACCACGGTTGTTTTTTAAAAATCGTGTAGTTTTTTTCATGATTTCTGGTTGGATACGAATGGAATGCTACTGTTTCTCGTGGAAATCGTTATTTGGGTCTTCTAAATGACTCTGACATTTTACAATATGTCGGTAAATTTCGGTTTCACCTCGCAACATTGCTGACACGAAATGTTACGATGGGCGCTGAGACTTCCGTGATCGATACTTCAGAAATGCAAGACGCATGGAATAAATAACAATCAGGGAATCGTAAACGGTCTATTGGTTCAACTTTATTGGCAAAACATTATTTAAAATATACTCTTGGGAACACAGAATCGTACATTGAAGACCGAGTATGTTTCAAGTCACAAAATATTCTTAAAATAAACATGGATACCATGATATTTTGGTGACGTAGTTTGGGTTTCGACCAATTGGCGGTCCCAAAAAAAATTTTTTTCTTGTTCGCCCATTCATCCTCAATAAATCGGGATCGATAAAAAATGTGATTAATTTGTCCAAAAAAAAATAACAGCACTTTGTTTTCACTGGACCACTGCATTGATTGTGTACCCAACTTCATGGAGTGACCCATATATACATGTACTTCTCACCATAACTTCATATTTTGCTACACTACGAGGCCCTGCCATGGAGCGATATTTGCTACGATGACAGGCCGTGTACAATGACCAAATTCAAGTTGAACGCACGGCGTGTAAAAAAGCAATGGGAACCAGTGACGTGAATACACGTCCACTGCCGGAGACTCGGGCAAAGCTTGACGATTGAACCCATCACCCGCCCCTGTCATGCCTGTGAATGTACATTGCCTGATCGTGTTTACACGTCTTCCAGCATAAACTGGACCACAATGTGATTTAATTTGGCGGATCCTTCATACACTGTACATGTTTATTGACAACTACCGGTTACATGGTTGACATGGTATATTTTCACACGTTTGAATTGGGGGCTCATTTCTGTCTTAAACTAACCTCGACATCAAATGGTCTTATCAAAACAAGATCAAAAATTCTTAGAAATTGGGTTTGAAGTGGATTTAACATTGTAACCACCCGACAGTGTTGTAGTCGAGTCAGCAATGTCGAGTCCGAGTCCGAGCCTCGAGTCACAAGCCTCGAGTCCGAGTCTCGAGTCACAAGCCTCGAGTCCGAGTCACGAGTCACTTGTTGTTCACCAAACTAATCAATTGTTTAAAATTATTTTTCAATCATCCATTCTGTCTATTAAGTAAATCCCAGTGGATGTAGTTTACCTTAATGTGTGTACACTGTACATGTTGTTGTACACATTTTGGCATGACACCGGGCCCTGGTGGTCGTCGGGTAGGCGTGCGTGGTGGCCCCTGGATACGATTTTCCGCAGTGACGTGTTTCAATAGAGTAAAATAGAGTACTACGTTCGTCGCACAAATACGTAACGTTATGTTTTTTCTTTTGATGAAAATACGTGACTCAAGTCACAAGTCACCAAGCTCGAGTCCGAATCATCATGGTCGAGTCCGAGTCCGAGTCATTTTTCAATGTGAATCGAGTTGAGTCCGAGTCACGAAAAATGTGACTCGAGTCCGAGTCCTGGACTCGAGTCCTACAACACTGCCATCGATAGTCTGAGAGTAGATAAGATTGGTGTTAGATATTAATTAGCACCTTGAGTACCTAATTGTTGGTAGATACGTGCCCTATATACATGTAAGACTCCGGTGTTATTATTATCAGAAAAATTAGTACTGTCTTGAAGCCTTCTTCAATGGCCTCTTGTTTTCATTTCAGTGGACCTTATCAGTGAGCAGTGGACACAACTTGACAAACGTGGTCGTGAGCGGCAGTATGTTCCCCAAGCCTGTGCGGTATGAGGAGGGGGAGGGGCTTATCTATCTGGGAGGGAGTAGTGTCTCTAAGGCATTCCGGGGATTCATAGCGGATACCTGGCTGTGGAGGACTACAGTGGCTAAAAAGGTGAGAGAGATCAGGGCCCAATTTCACGGCGCTGCTTGAAGGGAAAATACAACATTTGCAAACATCAAAAAATAAAACTACCAAATCATTTTGAAATACCTTGCTGGACTGTTAGTGAATGACAGTCTAAAGCATCCTGTAAAATCATGGCACCTGGTATACTGTCATTTTCAAGAAAAGTGGTATTTTTGTATCAATTTCCAACGCTGGTCGGCCGACCAGCGTTGGAAAAAACTGACTTTTTTTTCAAATACTGGCCCCAGTTGACCATTGCACTTGTTTGCAATCGATTACACACCTGTGAACGGGTACAAGCCAGTTAGACTGGTTCCCTGACCTTACAATTCCCCAATGTATGTAAACTGCTCTGTTTCTTCTTATATGGAGTCAGGGAACCAGACTACAGGAAAATGATTGTTTTTCTTGGTTTTTATAGCATTTTCAAACCCAAAACCTCAAAAAAGTCAGTGTGACTATATTTGCTATATATTTCCAATCCCATCCATTTCTGACAATTACAGCAAAAGCAAATGATGTATATTCCCTTTAACAGTTAGCAGAAAAGTTGTGATTAGCATAGCAGAAACATTTGCTAACCTTTTCACTGCGTGGACGTGCTAACGGTCGCGCGTGCATGGAGATTTCTATTGTTACGTCACTAAGTTGAGCAAATTTTTCCTCGGAAGTAAGCGTGCCTTTTGCTGTGCTTATGCTTACGGTCTCCATGAAATAGACGAAGGCTTTGTTAGCAGAAAATCGTTTGCTTAGCAGCGCCGTGAAATTGGGCCCTGAATATATCAACCAACATTTTCCCTGTGCTCTTCATCAAAATCAAATTTCGTTTCACTTAATATATTTTCTCATTGTATGTTCTATTCCAACCCCCAAAACTCTTCTTCTTTTTTTCCCCTTCTTATTTGGGCGCAAACAGATCTGGCATGTGAGCAGACTGGCTCCTAGTTTGCACATTATCAATACAGATTGTGGGGCGGGAACTAGCCTACCCCTCGAGTACGGAAATACAGGGTGTTTCAATAAAAAGGAAACCCAAATTTGAAGAACCAGTATGGACAGACTAAATGTTTACTGGCTATAAAACTGGTATCATCTGAAAGCGTAATCTCTATGCTTTTCAATGATACCTTGTTTACATTTCCAGGGTCATGCATCACTGAGCGCCACTGTTATGAGATTTTGATGCAAAATTGCAGTTGGTTCACTTTCATGTCAAACACAATAGGCATGGTGTGCATGAGAATAAGTATTCAAGAAGAAGACACGAGTGCATAAAAAGAAACCAAAAAAAAACAATTCGCGTTGGTTTCAAAACTGGATTTGATTGTTTGTCATGAATTTCTCGTTTTGACCAAAAACAATGTGCCATTTTCCCGAGGATTAACATTCAAGCCATTTCACAGACATTTCCGTAACAATAGGCACACCGTGCCCAGTGGTGTTTTTTATGAAAGTGAACCAACTGCATTTTTGCATCCAGTTTTCAAGACAATGATGCTCAGTGATGCATGACTCAGAAAAGCTAAACACTGTATCATTAAAAAGCATAGAGATTACGTTTTCAGATGATACCAGTTTTATAGCCAGTAAACATATCGTCTGTCCATTCTCATTCTTTGAAGTTGGGTTTCCTTTTTTTTGAAACACCCTGTATTGTTGGGCTGCAAGTAATTTGAAATTTGTGAAGTAATAACTATATAATAAACATGAGCTGATTTTTTTTCTTTGGGGAGGGGGGTTTGATGTCTTATTCAAAAGTGAATAACGACTTTTAGTACTAGAAAAATTGTAATTTAAAAAAAAGGAATGTATTTTGGGGGATGAAACTTAAAAATATATGTAGCACGGGGAATTAAACTGTACGCTGAATGGAGTGCATTGCTTGAGGTTTAAATGACTTCATTGCCACACTTACATGACTTACCTGTGTGCTAATGGTTAACTGTTCCTTTGTGGTTCTAAAATTTCAAAATCTGCCCTTTTTTCGACAGGATCCACATTTGAATTCTTCAAGTCCTATCCTGATGGATAGGATCAGTTCTTACATCACAAGCTGCGATGCGCTACAGGAGAGAATGCTGACTGTATACGAGACGTATCAGAGCCAACGGCTGTCGCTCATTCCACAGAGTAAGAGCCACAAAGTACAAAGTACCCATTAGTCACGGTTCAGTGCCTGCAACTGCCCTGCCTGAACCCTGCCAAAATGCGACCTCCCCTCCTCCCCAAGTCTAGCCTTTAGTCAAGTCCCACGCGCTTACCCGGACACGTGACGCACCCCGGATGCTGGCACGTAAAAAGACTAGCACGAGCGGCGAAGCGCGAGGGCCTTTACCATCTCTTGGAGAACGCTTATGTTTTTCTTCACATTTGTCTACCGATTTGGTAGACATGCATAATGCATTACCCGTTGTGAATTGACCAATGAAAATGCAGAATTACTAACGTAAATCAGCCATCGTCTGGCGCCAGACAGCACACGCGCGTGCTGTTGCTGGTAACCGCAAACCACCGTTGGATGATTGGTTTATATTGCTTGATTTATATTACGTGAATAAATGAATAAGTGATTAGTTCCACGAGATAGTAAAGTCCCTCGCGGCTTCACCGCTCGTGCTAGTCTTTTTACGTGGCAGCATCCGGGGTACGTTATGTGTCCGGATGGTCCGGGTATAGGCGCGTGGGACTTGACTAAAGGCTACCCAAGTCAGGCTTACTTTCACAGCAACGATTCACGCACATTCTTTAAAGATATAGTCCATCATTTGTAATTTGTGCATTTTGTTCGTTTGAAGCAGCAAAAGTGCTCAATATTTAAAAAAAAAAAGGGTACTGAACAACTAACCTGATGAAGTTTCAGCTCAGCTTCAGCTGTATATTTCGAGAAAAACAACATTCTAGGATCTCGATTTCAAATCAAAAGTTGCTGAATCATGTTTTGAATTGGGCCTGAATTCAGCGTCCGAGACACGTTCTCACTGAGCCGATTGCAGATACGACGAATTATTGCAACTGCGCGCGTGTGTGCGTCGTGCCAACGCTTGCGCGCTTCGCCGAATAACAAAACGAACTACTTATTTAAATTTTCCTACGGTGCATCTTAAGATGCACCGTTGGAAAGGCCTTCTTTCGTTGATTTCTTCAAAATGACAGCTTGCCAGAAAGAATAATTTCACAGGGAGTTTAGTCCCCTTACTATCTTTCAACCAAGTATGTTTTTCAACAATAATTACGGTAGGTACTTTTCGGATAGCTGCAAATGATGGACTATAGCTTTAACGATGCACTGCACGTATGTTTAACACACACGATCACAGACAGCAATTTTACATGCTTTTATAGAACATTTTCACAAATTAGTAGCTGAAAATGGTTCACTGCATTGTCACCACACCAGTTACAAATACAGTTGGGCTTATTTTCGCTCCAAGGAGGAGAATCAAGCCAATTACGAAACGGATTCACAACAGCCGTAGAGAAACGACTGTGTTTACTGGGCCTTCTTAGTGTACATGAACCAATAACCATGATTGCACCGAGTTGATTGTCATCGGGACTACACCATCAAATTACTCCCTGTAGCACTCAATATCGCCACAGCACTCAATGGTTTGAGGAAATTCTTCAGTAAATAAACACAATGTACTACAATTTTAGTACAGTTGGGTCAATGAAATGGTTGCGCCGAGTCCATACAGCTTTTAAAGCATAAATTGTATTGTGGAAATATTGTTCGATCTCCCTCACAAATGCCATAAAATTTCATCACAAACGCCTTAAATGATTTTAAAAAAAATATTTTATGCTTCTTCAAGATTCCTGCAGCAATTCCCTGTCATCACTTCTTCCGTCCTCATCCCAATCGTCATCATCATCCGACATTCATCCACCGGTATGCCAACCCTGGGAGAGACGTCCTCCTAAGGGCTACAGACATCTATGGTCTGCACTCAAGACTGCTGCCTGGCGAAGCAAGTACTATAAGGAGAGTTTTGAGTTCATTGGTAGGAGGCTGCATGAGAAGGCCCTACAGTATCTGGTGAGTAGGTGATAGTGGTCTCTAGTGTTAAGAAGAGTCAATGGTGATGTGTCGCCTACTGAGGAAAACTAAAAGCACAGAATCAGAATCATTTAGAAGTTTTTAATGGCCCAACTAAATGGAAACAACCCATAGAGCTATATCAAATTACTAGAGCGCTAACTCGATGTACAAAGTAATGCCTGATGGGCGCATCCATGTTTGTGCACAAACCTATGGAAAATTCGAAATTTTGTACGGCTTTTGTACGGCTATTTGCATATCTGCGTTTGTATTCCATACCGGTGCGTCATCGAAGCCGATACGCCCAAAACCGAAACGCACGATCAGCAAATGAGCATTTCATTTTGCTCTACGCAAACAGCGCAACGTGTGCGCGTCCCTCCGCTGCAGATGCTTTTCGCAGTGACGTTTTTTGAACCGTTGTGACGCGCTTAAGTTATTTGCGTATATTCTACTTGCGCCTTGCATGTAGAGTACACTTTTAAAATTCAATCCATCTATTTTGATTGTGTTCTACAAACACGCACATAAATTCAAAATGTCTGCGCCCAGAGCGGCTGCAAAGCGTCTCCGCGCGCAAGAATGAGGAGTTAGCGCTCTAGTAATTTGATATAGCTCTATGAAACAGCCTAACCTTTGCCACCTGTTATAGGATTTGATGTTTGTTAATTAAAATATGGACCGGATCTCCTATATCAGGGGCCTCAAATCTCTTGAAACTGAAACCAGAGATGAAGCCAAGGTTTCAAAATTCCGTTCGAAACACAATGGTACTTGCAAGCATGTGCATATAACCAAAACTATGCGAACATTTACAAAGTACGTTTACTGTTGAGAGCGGGTTTGCGGGTACACCATGTGGAATCAATCTCTTTTATAAGAGTGATGGTTCTGAGAAGAACCGGTGAGTGTGAGCTGGATGTTTCGACCAGGATGCTCTGGTCGTCCTCAGGAGAGGGAAAGAAAATTGGATTCGAATTTCTCTCTCCTGAGGAGGACCAGAGCACCCTGGTCAAAACATCGAGCTCACACTCACCAGTTCTTCTCAGAACCATCACTCTTATAAAAGAGATTGATTCCACATGGTGTACCCGCAAACTGTCTCTCAGTCTAGCCTCCACCATGCAAAGATTAAAGTCTTACACTTACTGTTATTGTAGAATTTTGTTTCCCATGTCTCATTCAAAATAATAATAATAATAATAATTGTGCTTATATAGCGCTTTCCATCGTATCAACGATCTCAAAGCGCTTTACAATTATTACCCTGTTCATCAGGCCATGGGACCACGCGGCAGCCGATATCAGCACTCAATCGGTCCTCGACCCTCACAGGTACCCATTAATACTCCTGGGTGGAGAGAGGCAATTGTAGTTAAGTGTCTTGCCCAAGGGCACAAACACCATGTTCCTGGCAGTCAAACACCGTAATCACTGGACCATGGCGTTCTACACTGGGTAACTTTGGGTGATCAACCCTAAATGTACTACTCTTTCCATCTGTTTTATTTGGTCTCGTTTCTAGGCTGCTGGTGGTTTGTCAACAATTCCAGTCATCCTCCCCGTCCTCCGCCAGGCTAGTTGCTATGGTAACCACAAATCCTCCTACATGCTGGGCACGTTGTACGCCGGAGGAATCAACGTCGATGCAGACCAGAATGAGGTCAGAATTGATGAAATTGTGACCAATTTTATGACAGAATTTGCAAAAACAAAAATTATCATGATAACCAGACCAGTCTTGTGTGGGCAAGTTGGAGCTGAAACTCTCAGCTCGGGGCATTATTTGTACGCAGTGAGTCAGTCAACCCGTCAGTTACTGGGGGTGTGCCTTTGACGGGAACCAGGTACCTGTTGAAAAATAAAACCACGGGTACCCAGGTACCCATGAAAGAAACCCAACCCCAAAAATTCAAATTTCGGAAGTTGCTGTTCAGATGGTTTACAAAAGTTTGCACGATGATACTGCATCAATACAGGGTGAGTATACAAAAAATGAAACCCAAATGTCGGGACCATTGTTTTAGTGAAGTTCTGCATGTAGCATTTTCAAAATCTAGGAGATAAAAGCCCAACTCATAAGCTTTCTTTTAGTACAAGAATCATTGAAATCACTTATGTACTTTTCAAGTTACGGAGTTTTAAACACAACCGCCGTTTTAAGGATCTGTCCACGGATCACAAAAAAGTTCAGTGTTCTTTCAGCAAAACGAAAACAAATCACATAACGATGTGTGTGAATTGTTTTTGTTTTGCTGAAAGAACGCACACCGTTTTTGTGATCCGTGGACAGAACTTTAAAACGGTGGTTGTGTTTAAAACTCCGTAACTTGAAAAGTACATGAGTGATTTGAATGTTTCTTGTACCAAAAGAGAGCTAATGAATTGGGCTTTTATATCCCAGTTATTGAAAGTGCTACATGCAGAATTCACTGAAACAATGGTCCCGACATTTGGGTTTTATTTTTTTTTTACTCACCCTGTACAGCAAGATACAATGACTACACTGAGCTTATAGATTTACGGTGTAAACTGCAACTTTCGCGAGCGTCATATTTCGCATGTAGCCTGGTTTTCATTTTTTTTAATTCCCCGTAAACTACATTCAAGTCCTTTCTTTTTCATTGCCCGAGAAGTTACTAATTTGAAGTGGTATCCATCCTCCATAGAAGATTACCTTAAAGGAATTTGAAGTGTGAGTGCTAACTCTATGGGCAAAAGGTGTTTTGCAAAACTTGAAGGGTTGTGAAGTACAGAAGACTAGGACAGATAAGATACTGGACTCAAAATGGGGGTTTGCGTACTTTAAATGCCGACACTTAATTCTAATCATATCTTGACCCAAACAACTTTTTTTTGTGGCACCGTGTAGTTGATGTCAACTATTAATCTATATTTCTCTCTCCCTATAGGCATATCTATATTGGCTGGTTGCCGCACAGGCAGGGAACCGGTTAGCCATGCTTGCATTGGCCAATCATCATTACCAAGGGCTGAACGCGGCATCCAAAGATTATGACTTCTCGTACAGTAAGTCTGACAAATTCAAATAGGGTTATGAAGAGTAAAAACTAGGATGATTAAGATACCAGACACAAAGTGGGGTTTACATACTTTAAATACTGACGCTTTTTAAAATAGAATATTTTAAAATAGGACATTTAAGGGGAAGATACTACATTTGCAAATATCACAAAACGAAATGATCAAATTATCACAAAATACTTTACTGCATTGTTGAGGAAGGACAGTCTAAAGCATCCGGTAAAATCGTGGCTCCTGGTGTGCTGTCATTTTCAAGAAAAATGGGATTTTTCCAACGCTGGTCGGCCGACCAGCATTGAAAAAAACTGGCTTTTTTCAAAAACTGCTCCTAATGTTTTCATAATTAGTTATTCCGCGTTTTCTTTGCAATTGGTTACACACCTGTGAAGGGGTACAAGCCTGCTAGACTGATTCTCTGACCTTACAATTCCCCAAAGTCTATAAATTGCTCCGTTTTATCTTAAGTGGGGTCAGGGGACCAGACTGCAAGAACATGATTGGTTTTCTTGGTTTTTCCAGCATCTACAAGCTCAAATCGTGAAACAAGTCATTTTAACAATATTTGCTATAACATACTAATCCTCCAAATCCATTAATTTCTGAAAATTGCAGTAAAAGTAAATGTTGTACATTATCTTTAAGGAAAAAAACTGTATTTTCAAAATGGACAAGATTTGATGAAGTTGGTGAACAAAGAAATCTACTCAGCACAGAAAAGGTTTGCTTAGAGGAAATAGGTTACCAGCCAAGCTGTCACGGGATTTACATTGCTTGTGACTGGTATCCTGCTGATTTCAGCTTGACACATAATTGCCTAGCGCAGTATTTCTGCCTAGTCGTTCCATGAAGTGGGGCTTTTTTCTGTGAGCGTGCTTTGTTCATGTGTTCATTTTTGGTCTGTTTTTTTTATCAGATTACTTGAAGAGGTTGGCAGATTTGACAGTTAAAGATCGAGAGAGACATGATGCTGATGGGGTAAGTAGTTGCTTAAAGGGAATATACATCATTTGCTTTTGCTGTAATTTTCAGAAATGGATGGAATTGGGGGGTTGGAAATATATAGCAAATATAGTTACACTGACTTTTTTGAGGTTTTGGGTTTGAAAATGCTATAAAAACCAAGAAAAACAATCAATTTCCTGTAGTCTGGTTCCCTGACTCCATTTAAGAATAAACAGAGCAGTTTACATATATTGGGGAATTGTAAGGTCAGGGAACCAGTCTAGCTGGCTTGTACCCGTTCATAGGTGTGTAATCGATTGCAAACAAGTGCGATGGTCAATTGGGGCCAGTATTTGAAAAAAAGCCAGTTTTTTCCAACGCTGGTCGGTCGACCAACGTTGGAAATTGATTCAAAAATACCACTTTTCTTGAAAATGACAGTATACCAGGTGCCATGATTTTACAGGATGCTTTACACTGTCATTCACTAACAGTCCAGCAAGGTGTTTCAAAATGATTTGGTAGTTTTATTTTTTGATGTTTGCAAATGTTGTATTTTCCCTTTAAAGCTACAGTCCATCATTTGCAGCTATCCAAAAAGTCACTGACGAAATTATTGTTGAAAAGCATACTCGGTTTAATTCGCTGTGAAATAATTCGTTCTGGTAAGCTGTCATTTTCAAGAAAACAATGAAAGAAGGCCATTTCAAATGATGCGTCAAAAGATGCATCGTTGGAAATTTCCGTAAGTAGTTCACTTTTAATTCGGCAAAGCGCGCAAGCATTGACATGACGCACACGCGAGCGCAGTGCTATAATATGTTGGTTCAGTGCGCGACATCGCGTTAGCTGCAATCGGCTGAATGAGAACGCTGAATCTGGGTGCGATTCAATACCCCGACTCGGTAACTTTTGAGTTGAAATCGAGATCCTAGAGTGTTGTTTCCTTGGAATATACAGCATCCGCTGAGCTGAAACTTCATCAGGTTAGTTGTTCAGCATCCTTCTTTAGATTTTAAGCACTTCTGTTGCTTCAGACGAACTTTATTTCCAAAACGCGACATGTCCATTTGAAAACAGTGAACATTTGTACAGCTGAAAACTTGAATGATTAAAAACAGTATAACACCCGATTCTAAACTTCATTTTTCAATTATTGTATTCTTAAGTTGTGTTTAAGAATTTTGGGCAGCCAGGAGAGAGCAGGATTCTAAAAGGGCAGCCTCGACTCCAGGGGCGCGTGCTCGTTCCTTACACTAACCCCTGGCTGTGATGATGACGTAAATGACGCTGAATGGCAATTCACAGCGTATTGCACGGGCATTTCGAAGATTGCACACCGGGCGCGCCCATTATGCGCTCGCGCTCGCGTGCACGTATTAACGTCATGTACGAAAAAAAATTATTATTCAAAAGTCGCGATGCCTGTACGATATGGATTATGTCAGCCGCGTTTTTCGCTAAAAAAACCCTGTATCTGTGGTTGTAAAGGCACGAAAGGGGTACGTACATTTAATGCAAACTTTGCTAAATAACACAATGTCCAAACGTTGTGTTTGAAATTCTTCAAAATCACAACTTTTAACATTCTAAAGATGGCGTCGGCACGTAAAACGGATAAACTGCAGCCCTAATTATAATGTACCGTATTTTGGCACATTTAAATTACACAATTCCAGGGGTTACGATCGCGCAAGGCATGATGGGAAACAACATGGCGCTGCAAGATCGTACCCACGGGGCACGAGGTTGCTAAAAGGGAGCAAACTGGCATGTATCGCGTTTCGGAATTAAACTCTTCACGTTTAATTTGATAGATTTTACACATTTTTTGGCGTGTAGGTTTTGACGGAGTATGTGAGGTTGACAGACACCGACTCACTACAGGTGCACAAAGGAGAGGGTGGCGACCACTTCCTGTGGTTGAAGTACCAAGCAACCAAAGGCATAGCACAGGCACAGGTTGGTGTCTAGGTGCTAGACTTCATGAACGTCATGTCCATAACAATCTTTTATAGGCCACATTTTTTTTCCCAAGTTACAAGTAAACTTTTACAATTTTGCCACAAATGAACCCTTTGTCCTTGTGGAACTTTATATACTGTTCCTAATTCAATCCTTTCCTTTTCCTTTTAAAAGAGCCTAAAAATATTTCATCCAAGAATTTCTTTTCTGTATAGACTGGATTGTTTTAGCGCTATTCACCTATGACCATATCAAAGCAAATCAGAATGCCTCAACAATAGTTATTGGAAAATATAATTGTCTGGACTTCAATTATGTAAATCCTTAAAAGTGACAGATGTTTGTAAAACCAGATTTCCAAACAATTGTAAAAAACATTTCTTCGAATCTCAGAAAGTGTCACAAACCTGAGATGACATTTAATTTCTTTAAGCCAATTATATTTATAACATGGGATCCAATATCCCAAAGAAGAAGTTTTTCCAAGACTATGACCCTTCATTATCTCAGGACCATGCTTTGTACTCCTCTGTGCCCCACACCCCATAGAAATAGTCTTTCCTATATATCACATCCTTCCAATACCCAGGACCATGCTTTGTATTCCTAGGTCCCCATACCCCATAGAAATAGTCCTTCCTATATATCACATCCTTCCAATACCCAGGACCATACTTTGTATTCCTAGGTCCCCATACCCCATAGAAATAGTCATTCCTATATACCACACTCCTCCAATATCCCAGGACCATGCTTTGTATTCCTAGGTCATCATACCCTATAGAAATAGTCCTTCCTATATATACCACACTCCTCCCAATATCCCAGGCCCATGCTTGTATTCCTAGGTCCCCATACCCCATAGAAATTGTCCTTCCTAAAGGCCTCACCTCTCCAATATCCCAGGACCATGCTTTGTATTCCTAGGTCCCCATACCCCGTAGAAATAGTCCTTCCTATATACCACACCCCTCCAATATCCAAGGGCCATGCTTTGTATTCCTAGGTCCCCATACCCCATAGAAATAGTCCTTATATACCACACTCCTCCAATATCCCAGGACCATGCTTTGTTTTCCTAGGTCCCCATACCCCATAGAAATAGTCCTTATATACCACACTCCTCCAATATCCAAGGGCCATGCTTTGTATTCCTAGGTCCCCATACCCCATAGAAATAGTCCTTATATACCACACTCCTCCAATATCCCAGGACCATGCTTTGTATTCCTAGGTCCCCATACCCCATAGAAATAGTCCTTCCTATATACCACACTCCTCCAATATCCCAGGACCATGCTTTGTTTTCCTAGGTCCCCATGCCCCATAGAAATAGTCCTTCCCAAAGACCACAACCCTCCAATATCCCAGGCCCATGCTTTGTATTCCTAGGACCCCATACCATAGAAACAGTCATTCCTTGCTATGTCCAGTTTCTTTGGATCCACGGGCTCACACCTTCTTTATTCTGGTTGTGGTTCCATTTGACTCCGCCCCTCCTTTCACCCGCTGTTCCATTCTCCATTCTCCCTCCCCCTGTAGCTTGATATGGCCCGCATACTATTCTGGGGGCAGAGGGGCATAGACCGGGACGTCCAGCAGGCCGTTGACCTTTACCGATTGTATTTAATGGAGAATCCATTGGATGAGGTTGTGCAGTATGACTATGGGATCATTCATCTACAGGTAAGGCTACATTTGAATTACAAGGCTACGGCTAAGACTATGGCAATTACACATGAGCCTATGGCAGCAGCTGAAGCCACTTCACATAGACATGTGTAACAGTCGGCCACAGCCAAGTAATTCAGATGCGGCTAAAGTCTTGATAATGGTAAATCTTTACAGCAATGGATGCTGCTCATGTTGTAATCATGGTGCATTGAAGGGCTTAAAGTGATTTTATAAATTTGCTTAAAGGGAAAATACAACATTTGCAAACATCAAAAAATAAAACTACCAAATCATTTTGAAATACCTTGCTGGACTGTTAGTGAATGACAGTGTAAAGCATCCTGTACAATCATGGCACCTGGTATACTGTCATTTTCAAGAAAAGTGCTATTTTTGTATCAATTTCCAACGCTGATCGGCCGATCAGCGTTGGAAAAAACTGGCTTTTTTTTCAAATACTGGCCCCAATTGACCATCGCACTTGTTTGCAATCGATTACACACCTATGAACGGGTACAAGCCAGCTAGACTGGTTCCCTGACCTTACAATTCCCAAATGTATTTAAACTGCTCTGTTTCTTCTTATATGGAGTCAGGGAACCAGACTACAGGAAAATGATCGTTTTTCTTGGTTTTTATAGCATTTTCGAACCCAAAACCTCAAAAAAGTCAGTGTAACTATATTTGCTATATATTTCCAACCCCCCAATTCCATCCATTTCTGAAAATTACAGCAAAAGCAAATGATGTATATTCCCTTTAAAGGGAAACTGCGTCCTAGAACAGCCCAATTGGGCTACAAAATGCGCTTTGAACGAAATGATGTTAATCTGAAAGAACACTTAAAGGTAGGATATCAACATAAAACTGCGCGTTTTATTGTTATTCCTGTATTATGCGTGCGAGAACGAATTTCGGGGTCCACTATTGCGACCCCGAAAAATTGAGCTGTTTTGATGCTAGTTGTGATTTCATCCGTAAAGTGTTCGCCTTTTGCGGACGTGTAAGAAACCAATATTTTGTGCATTGGTGATTGGTCACCGCTGTTCGCACGCACGGTCCTAGTATAGACACACACAACATGTATAACGTACATTGACTAAACAACAGGGAAAACCTATTCGTACTCCGTCGTGTCCGAAGTAAACAAACAAGGTTTTTTCATCTTTTCTTGGGAAAGACATTAGGTTGGTTTCCTTTGAACCAGATGTTTGAAGTAGGATAAGTAAACGATCCAAAACATGAAATTTTGGGGGATTTCACGACCTAGTGCCCCTTTAATATATAAAATTGCTTAACCCAGAAAGGCTTGCCGTTGATCACAGCAGATTTTTTGGCTAATCAACAAAATAAGCTTAGAAATATTTTCTTCCTCAAAGAGATCCAAGAACCTGGGTCCTGTTTGTTTCTGTTCCATGCATTGCTGAGAAGATTCACCACCAATTTCAATTCAAGATTTGTTTCAAACCTATCATGATGATCCTGTCAACTTATGATTTCTGTTTGCTGTTTTTTCCTGATTGATTTTATGAATGCTCTCGCGTCAGGCTTCAATAGCCCGACTGAAGTTTTGGGGCTCGGAAGGCGTCAAACGAGACATGAAAACCGCCGTCAAATATTACGAAAAGTCGGTCAAAGAAATGCCCCGGAATCCGGTTGCTCTGTACGACTACGGCATTGTCTTACTCAGGGTAATCAGGCATGCCAGCTTTTCCTCAGATCAGCTGATTTTCTCGTTTTTCACTTCACACTTACGCCGTTAAATATTGGAAAACAATGTAGAAAGTCTGGCAAAGCTTGAAATTTCTCGTTTTTTCCCTATACTTTCAAGTTGCATGTCTGGGTATTGTGGAGGGGCTTGTCTGTTTTTGAAGGCAGTGATGTAGCTGAGTCACCATATTTGAGTCTGAGTGTTGAGTTTTTGAGTCGCTTGTAATCACCATGCAGTTTTGAGGCACTTTGACATGTTTGAGCCAAAATTCTTTGGTTAATGTCTGGTCTAAGCCTAAAAGATCTTATCAGCCAATGAGCAATGTCAGGTCTCTTTATAATGAAAAAACAAATGCATGAACATTAGGCCCCCCCAAAAAAGTCTCCGGTTTCTGGTGTGGAGCTTGCCCAAAAAGTGGTGCGGCGACGCGGCTTTTTTTTGGGTTTTTTTTACCTTTTTTTTTGCTTCAAATGTCGGCTGATTACTGCAAATGGTGCCCGACTAAACTTAGTGCAAATATATGGGAGTCCAGAGAGGCCACATAAAGCTTATTCTCAATCATAACCCCATCCAAAAATACGTTAAAACTGTGCAGCAGCAGGATTCCAGTCAAACCAGTGAGTTTGGCGGTTTTGAGACATCATCTTTTATTGAAAATTTATTTTTTTCATTTTGCCGACGCGCATGGCTAAGGCGACTTTTTTTTTGGCCTTACTTGGCAATCACATTTTCTCATGCATTGAAGTACATGCCTGTTGTAGCCATACATGTAGTGTAGAAATGCTTTTTTTCAACATGTTCAAAGAACATTTCCTTGTAATGGGGTGCATGCAAAACCACAGAGGGCGCTGTCTGTCATTTGTATCGGGACAAAAAGTCAACGGCGTTACAACTTACGGGAAGACACCATTCCATATTGTGTTGACCAATCACAGTCGTGATCGGTGCTTGACATGCATGCTTTTAAAGTCTGACATTATGTGATGCGATCAAGCTAAATGAGTCGTTTGTCAGCAATGATTTTTAGATAAAGCCCAAAATAGGTCAGTAGGGGTGGAAATTTCAAAATTGACTTTTTTGTAAAATCAGGAGGCTGCATATGTCCTCTTTCATGTCAACTCATGATAAAGTAGTTAACTCTTTCAGTGCCTGCAAAATTTGAAAAGTTTAAGTTTAAGTGCCCAACTTCAAGCGTTTTTGTTAATTGTTCAAAATTCTTTAAAAAAAAGTAAATAAGTTTTACTCACTAAATTTGTTGTTGTTGCTCTCTGGTATATCCTTGATATATTGGAAAGTCAAAAGTAGTCACGTACATAGTGATACACCCTGAAACACTGTCCTGCACACAGGGGAATTCTGCACTTTTTGCAGAAAATACGAGTGTCAGTGCTGCGCCCTCTCGCAAGAACTCGAATGAAACAAATAAATACAGGTCGTATCTGAATGAAAATGATATTATTAGAAAGAGCGAGAGCGCCCCCTTGTGATAACATGCTTACTCTACCTCATACATGTATGAGGTTTGGGGATTTTAAGTACGAACATTACCTCGTACATGTACGAGGTTGGCGATTTCGAACATGTACGACTTTGGCACTGAAAAAGTTACTAAACACTTCAGTTTTGAATTGTTGAATTCTCTGTTTTCTTCTTTCTGATCTGCCTGTGTTCTAAGTCCCATATCTCTTGAACGGAAGGTCACATGGGGTTTTCACCAAATACAAATTGAAAGATAGCTCTATTCAAAAATGTAAAACAACAACATTTGATGAGGGCCGACAAACGACGCATTTAGCTTGATCGCAACACATATGTGCACGTGGGTACGATGTACGCGGCTAGAACACGTAGTACGGCAGTAAATGTGTACAGATCCAAGAATTCTTCCCATCCCTTGGTGATGGGTTATTTATTTATTCATTTATTTTATCAAATATGCATCTTGTTAATTGGGAGAGATATTACACACATGGATTTGTAAATCTCTCTTTGATGTATTCTTGGTTTTTTTTGTTGCTTCAGTCTGTAAAAAAAATAATTTACAATTTTTTTTATTATTCTCTTTCTTCACAGGGACAAGGAACAGAGAAAAATGTTGAGAAGGCTCTGGAACATCTGAACAAATCTGCAGAATTGGTAATAAGTAGATAAAAAATGACGGTTGTCATGTGTGACTTTTTTGGTTAATCATGAAGCAGGATTTGACCTTAACTTTTTTGTTAACAAGCCAGCCGGGCTCCTGAAACACACTCTTAACTAGCCCGCAGGCATTTTCACTGGCCCGCATTTTTTTATAGCTCAAATACAAAATGCTGTATTTTCAAGCTCAATTCTGAGGCAATTTTGTCAGTGTTTTTAAAAAACAGATCTAGTTTATCCCTTTAAAACAGTTGATAAACTTAGACACGAATTGATGAGGTTTGCTTTCTGAATTTAATGATTTTTCTTCTTCCTGACCTTTCATCTTTGCCGTAGCCCAATAATTTTTGACTTGCCAGCCGGGCTACTTAAGGAATAGTTTGACTAGCCCGCCGCTGTTTTGACTAGCATTTGGCTAGTGGGCTACCGCTAATTTCGAACCCTGCTTGTAGCCCATGCTTTGCGTGGCTCTTGGACTTGTGTTTGGCTGATACCTATGTCAGGAAAACAACAACCAAAATCATAAGAATGGGTAGGTCATGCGAGGAGAATGGAAGCACTTCAGTCAGTACATACAGTCATGGTCATTGGATTATTAGTCTGTACAGCTCCCACATTCTCGTTCTTATTCTGTTTCCTTAGGGCCATGCACCGGCCTACACGGCACTCGGTTGGTACGCCATCAATTTCCAGCGAGACATGAAAGCAGCCGCTAAGTACTTTGACATCGCGGCCAGAATGGGGCACAGGGACGCAATGCACAACCTGGGATATATGTACAAGTCTGGTCAGTACCCAGGCAAACCTGCAGATGAGGTGAGAGGGGGCATGGGTGTGGGTGGGATGGGGTAGGGTGGAGATGGGTTTGGGTATCTGCCAGAATGGGGCACAGGGACGCCATGCATAACCTGGGTTATATGTACAAGTCTGGTCAGTACCCAGGCAAGCCTGCAGATGAGGTGAGAGGGGCATGGGTGTGGGTGGAGATGGGATAGGGTGGGGGATATCTGTCGGAATGGGGCACAGGAACGCCATGCACAACCTGGGATATATGTACAAGTCTGGTCAGTACCCAGGCAAACCTGCAGATGAGGTGAGAGGGGGCATGGGTGTGGGTGGGTGTGGGGGGATGGATCTGCCAGAATGGGGCACAGGAACGCCATGCACAACCTGGGATATATGTACAAGTCTGGTCAGTACCCAGGCAAACCTGCAGATGAGGTGAGAGGGGGCATGGTTGTAGGTGGGTGTGGGTGGGGGGGGGGGGGATGTACCAGAATGGGGCACAGGGACGCCAGGCACAACCTGGGATATATGTACAAGTCTGGTCAGTACCCAGGCAAGCATGTAGATGAGGTGAGAGGGGGCATGGGTGTGGGTGGAGATGGGATAGGGTGGTGGGGGGGGGGGGGAGATCTGCCAGAATGGGGCACAGGGACGCCATGCACAAACTGGGTTATATGTACAAGCCTGGTCAGTACCCAGGCAAACCTGCAGATGAGGTGAGAGGGGGCATGGGTGTGGGTGGGATGGGGTAGGGTAGGGGGTCGGAGAGGGGGGGGGGGGATCTGCCAGAATGGGGCACAGGGACGCCATGCATAACCTGGGATATATGTACAAGTCTGGTCAGTACCCAGGCAAACCTGCAGATGAGGTGAGAGGTGTGAGTGGGATGGTCTGGGTGAAGGGGAGTCTGAGTGGGTGTTTGGTGGTGGTGAGGGTGGGGGGGGGGATCTACCAGAATGGGGCACAGGGACGCCATGCATAACCTGGGATTAAAGTCTAGTCAGTACCCAGGCAAACCTGTAGACAAAGTGAGAGGGGCGGGGCATGGGAGTAGTCCGGGTGGGGGTTGAGGTTGTATGGCAGAAACCAGAATGGGCACAGGGATGCCATACATAACCTAGTATATATGTATATGGCCAAAAGGCCATTGATTTGCATGTATCTCGTAATGTTCCTTCTTTTTCTCTTGTTTTAGGCCAAGGCCCTGCTGTATTTCCAGAAAGCTGCCGACCGTGGACACATAGACTCTGCAGGGGTGGTAGCTGAGATCTACAGCCAAGGATCTACCGGTGTGGAACGCAGTAGCTATAAAGCAGTCTTGTGAGTCCAACAACCTAGATTGTTGATCAAAAGAAAAAAGGAAAAATTCTAAATTCTGTTTGATTAACTTCATTCCTGCATCCGGAGTATTTTCACATATATCAGAATACCAAGCCCTCAAACACACAAAAAGAATAAAATCACTCAGTCTTAACCACTAAACACAATCTTTTTTTGTTTTTTCTTTGCATTTGTTTGTTTTGAACTGCCACTTTCTTCTCCAGGAAAATGAAATAAATTTTACTTTGGTCCTTTTTTTATATTGCAGCTGGTCTCGCTTGGTGTGTGAGCAGAATCCAGAGATAGGGATGGCGTTACGCAAAGGCCTGGACGCGTATCTAGAAGGATCGTGGTAAGAATGAATAATTCAGTTCTTAAGGTAGAGGGTGGGGCTCATGTCCGATGTAAGCAATCGGGTTTTGTTCGTCTTTTCTTGGGAGCAGTAAGACATTAGGTTGGTTTCCTTTCAAGCAGATGTTTGAAATAGGATAAGTAAACAATCCAAAACATGAAATTTTCGGGGATTTCAGGACGCAGCGCCCCTTTAACCTAAATGTATTCAGGAGATGATCATGAAATCAGCTCAGCTGATACTTATTCACATCGTGGTAGAAGGTCCACTGTGAGTGTGAACCCCATTATCTTCATTGTTCCCTCTAGGGGTGAGAGTATCGTGTACTACATGATGGTAGCTGAGACGGGCCTAGAGGTTGCTCAGTTCAACCTAGCACATCTCTGTGAGGAGGACCATGTAAGTACTTTTATAAGATGGAATTTTGCGTCGGGGTGATATAAATCAAATTAGGTTTTGCCCTTCACCGACGTTTAAACACTGTATACTCAGTGTGTAACCTCCCAAGTGAAAGTTGGAAAAAACACTTTTCTAGAAAAAAATGAAAAAACATACACAATCTGTTATCACAAAACATGATTTTGTAGGGTGTTTAGTACCAGTACGATCTTTAATCCAAGGAAGCTTTTTGATAATAATTTGGTATCGTTTTGGTTTTCGGAAACACCATGTGGTAATAACTACTGCTTAGAAGATACTTAGTTCTGAAAAGAACTTGTCCTGCTTATCATCAACTTTCGCTAAGTAGTTTTTGTTCTGATAAGAACAGTCCTGCTTTAAGTGCTAAAAGAACTTGTTTTTGGTCTCAACGGTTCGACTAGCTGATGACTAGAGCAGGAGTCTCCTGACTCCTGACTAGAGCAGGCTAGTTGAAATGTTGAGACCAAAGACAAGTTCTTTTAGCACTTAAAGCAGGACTGTTCTTATCAGAACAAAAAGTACTTAGCGAAAGTTGATGATAAGCAGGACAAGTTCTTCTCAGAACTAAATATCTTCTAAGCAGTAGTTATTACCACATGGTGTTTCCGAAAACCAAAACGATACCGATACTCCACCATGCAAAGCCTAAAATCCTATATGATAATTGGTAGGTAACTTTTTTGATTAATGCGAGTGATCCTACATGCCTTTTACATTCCCATGTCATTACGTTGACAGGATGGTCAAGTCTCAGCCTACGTCAGGACCGACTGTGTCTGGAAGTACTACAACCTGTCCAGCCATGCTACACAACCACACGTTATCTGTGAGTCTTTCTGTACAAGGGCTGTTATTGGCATGCTATCACTGTGCACTCATGACGGCCCCCTTCAATGGCGAAAGCATTGTGCTAGCTATTGTTCAGATCATCCACCATGGGAAGTTGCTTTGTACAATAGCATGCACAATGGTTTTTCCATTGAAGGGGGCCTTCTGAGTGTACAGCGATGATATCGGAATAGTCTACGGCAATTCCACACATAAGCGGACATTGCTGCAAAATGGAAAATGTAGGCGTCTGAGGTGGGAATGCTGGTGAAGAGGGAGACGACATCAAAGCCGACCATGATGTCGTCCGGCTGGAGGGTGAGGTCTTGGATGAATGCTGCAAACATCACATCATCGTTGGAATCCCTCATTCTCCTGACGACAGGCAGAGCATACTGTTCGAGTCCCTCCGGTTCTTTTAAGAACCACACATACTCACAAAAGAGATTTATTCACATGGTGCTACCGCAAACTTATCTCGTCTTAGTATCTTTCCCACCATGCAAACCTTCAAAGCTCAACAGTGATCCACAGGTAGCGGAAGTTGGGAGGCAAGAGATGCATTTGTAACCCCCCCCCCCCCCTCCCCCCCACCCAAAAAAACATACTTTGGAAAGATGTTCCTTTTCGTGCCCATTTTAGGATGCCTCACTACAGAGGCATATGAACTCTGCCATCCACTCTCAGAAACGTTTCAACATCATACCACAGACCACTGTATGTGTCAAGGGTCTGATAATGACAGCAATTGTTTTTCTTTGTCTTACAGCCCAGCTGAAGATGGGTGATTTCTATTATTATGGACACCATGGAGATGAAGACAAGAGCAGCGCTGTGCGGTACTATGCAATGGCTGCCAAGAGACATGAACCACAGGTCAGTTGATAAGACTTCAACGTCTGATTCAAGGAATCAGGGATGCTTGAGAATTAGGAGGTTGACCTCAGGTTGGACTTACCGTTTTGGTCACCACAAAACCTATTGTATTTTTTTATTTTATTTTATTTCTTTCTGGTAATAAAACCAAGGATCCCTCAAAAGTGCCCTAGGTTCTGTAGCCCGAAAGCCTGAAGAAACCTGCTGAGAGAAGACAATGAGAAAAAAATTACAGTTTTAGAGGTGGGAGGAAAAGCCCAGAGAAATATTCTGAGGAAATCCCACGGAATCAGGCAGGGACTGAAAACCCAATCCACATATTGGCCCAGGCGGGATTCGAACCCGGGTCACAGCGGTGGAAGGCGAGGAAAGTACCGCTACGCCAACCTGACTCCCCTTGTGTACAACTTGTGTGTGGTCCAAGCAACATGAGAATTAGTCATGTTAGTGGCCTTGTGGTCTGGAGCATTGAATCCGTGGTCTGTGGGTAATTCTGCAGGTTGTGGGTTCGATTCCAGCCTGGGTTGTGGTGCGTGTGCCCTTGGGCAAGGCACTTTGTCACTCATTGCTTCTCCCCACCCAGGAGTAAATGGGTACCTGATTTTAGCTGCCTTGTGCCAAAAATGCCAACATTGAGCTGTACACTCCCCAGGGAGCTGAGATTGTCTTTGTAATGTTTCATTGTTCCAATGATCAGGGGTAATAATTGAAAGCGCTTTTTATCACTTAAAAGCGCTATACAGTCGACTCTCGTTAATACAAACTCGTTCGGACTTAGCCAAATTGTTTGTTATATCAGAATTTTGTATTAAGAGGAACATCAGTTCCATTCAATGTGCACGTAAATGCACAGTCGGAACCAGGGCTTTGTGTTTGCTATAACCAGATTTTGTATTAACAGTGTTTGTACTAACGAGAGTCGACTGTATATGTACCTATATATGTTTGAAATTGAAGTTTCAAAATGCTCTTATTTTAATCAGAATTAATTTCCTTGGCTGAAATTCTGACTTTAATAATATCCCTTTTCTAAAACTCTTCCTTTTGCGACGGATCAACCCACCTTGGAAATTCCTACTTTTTGAGTAAAATCAATATATCTATTTCGTGATAACCTTGTGGAGATGTATTCGTCTATAGAAATTGCTCTGTGGAGACGTATACAATTTTTTGTTTCCTATTGAGTGCACGTCTCCAGAGGGCACGGTGTATCAGATCATGACCAGCGTCTGACCAATACTTGTTCCCTAGTTGTGGGTACTACACACCTGATGAATGCATGATGTTTATTTATAAAAGACCAAAGACATTGTAGGAACAGCAGATAGTCCCCACAACTCATTGCTTACTTCCATAATGAGACAAAAACTTCCCCACAACACGGCCACAGGAAGTGTCACATACACTGGCTCAGTTGTCCATCTTGCACGGTACTGTTCCATTGAGCCTGTTTTCTTGAAAATTAATGTTTCCTTTTTTTTGGTGTCTTGTAGGCACAGTTCAATCTTGCCTATCTTGTAGAGGAAGGCACACAGATTGACACTACCGTCTGGAAGAGTCTTCGCGTTCCTAGTGATGTCTACAATACAGATGATAAGACACAGCTTATTATGACACTATACAGGAGGTAAAGTAGACATGGCACTGTCCTGCACCTTTCCCTCAAAGCAGCGAGGCGGTGATAAAATTCTCCACATTTTCCAAATATGGGCATAATTTTTTTTTTCTTCAATGGGCCAATTAGGCCAAGCTTCCATGTAATCCTCACCCCTACTATACATCACAAGCCTGTAGACTCCCATTGGCCAGACCCTAGCCACTCCGGAGTAAGGAGTGTTGAAAGACAGAAGCCAAGATGGCGCTTCAATGCCTTTGTGCAGTAATTGGAGATCTTAGTGGCCAACCCCTAAGTGCCGCCGATCCCTTTGTGTCAACCCCTCGTGCCGCCCAGAGCTCAGACAGGTTGTAAACAATCCCTGGCCATGTGAATGACCTATATCTTGTGCATGTACAGGCATGCCAGGGGTATTGACCTATAACACATGTGGTGATTCAATTCTCCACATGGTTCCACTGCGCAAATTTTTTAAAAATGTGTTACCAGGAACAGAGTGCCCATCCCTCTGTCTTTAGTGATTGGGCCAGACTCATATGCTGCTGTGGGGGGATCGCCACACCTCCTCCACAGCGAGTCTGTTATCTTCCCAGCATTGAATAATGCCGGTACCTGGAGACACCAGTCCCATTTTAAAGTCACAAGCTATTCAAAGGAGCTTTGACAAAGGCATTCCTTTGTTTTTGTTCACCGACTGTTACTGGTGACTGGACTTGTGATTTACTTTTGAATGGACTTGGGATGGACTCGACTACATCCCCGGTAAATTTAAGTAAACTTCAATCTTGAATTTGACATTCCCTTGTTGTGTTTCTGTGTGCAGGTGTCGAGACGGAGGTAACAAGATTCCTACCTGCCGTGTGGCCTGGCTTTGCTTCGAGTACAACTCTTGAATCTATGGAAAAACACACATTAGCATCCCAGGTAAAGAAAATATCACAGGCATTCTTTATGATATATGTTCCATAAATCTATTGGTTCTTAATATAAACCAATTATTCTAATCTCTTGCTCAAGATGCTAGTGCAGCATAATTTCAGTGTGTTGTAATAATGTACTCCGTGTACAAGTACGTAGTCTAGGGGCTAGATGTTGCCGACTTAGCCGAAGTTTACTGTATGTATTTTGGTTGGATCGAGTCGAGCAGTTTGCATCACTTGTCTTATTTCTTGTCTTTTCTATTCCGTGTATTCATCGTCAGGTGTCTAGTGCTTTGGTTTGGGTATTCTGACACTATACTGCATCATGACATGTCTTCATCATATCAGGCGAGTAGGAC